ATATATATATATATATCTTTTGAAGTTATAATATAGTTACATCATTTCCCCACTCCAAGCCTTCCCATAAACTTCTCCTGCTCTCTTTAAAATTCATGGTCCCTTTTTTCATTAATTATTGTTACATAATACATGCATATGAATATACATATATATTCTTAAATATAACCTGCTCACTCTGTATATTACACGTATGCATGTTTTCATGACTGACCATTTGTACTGAATAACCAATTGGTGTGCTCTCAAATGGGAAAGACTGTTTCTGCCTAAGGCTACTAGCATTCCTTAGTTGCCTATAGTCAATTGTGTAGGGTTGAGGCCTCATGGTCTTTCCCCCATTCACCTTGGCATGTTTCTTGTCTTCCTTGTTCAGGTCATGTTTATGCAGTCGTGTTGGTGAGACTTCTTCAGCTTTCGATATTACTAGGAGGCACAGTCTTACAGCAAATTCCCTGATCCCCTGGTGCATATAATCTTTCTGCCCCCTCTTCAATGTTCCCTGAGCTTTAGGTGTAGGAAGCATTTCATAGATGTATCCATTAGGATTGGGCTCCACAACTCTGCATTTTGACTGGTTGTGATTTTCTGTAATGCTCTCCATTTTTTTTAAAAGAGGAATTTTCTTGAAGGAGGGTAAAGACAATACTTAGTTTTTTTGTATGATGCTAATTAGTTCTGACGTTTCTGTGTGTTTATTTTTCTCCAGATGACCTGCCTATTGGACAAAGTGTTGTACTGAAATCACCTGCTATTAATGAGTTGATGTGTATCTGTGTCTTTAATTTCAGTAGTAGATATTTTAAAAATGAAATTGTATTTCCCTGAGTTTAGTGCATATACATTTAGGATATTATTATTATTATTATTATTATTATTATTATTATTATTATTATCCTGCCTCTGCCTCCCGAGTGCTGGGATTAAAGGCGTGTGCCACCAACGCCCGGCTAGGATAGACCTATTTTCTTGGTTAACTGTTTTCCTTAGTTAGAATGAACTGTCTCTTTTTTATCTCTTTTAATTAGTTTTAGTTTGAAGTCTTTTTGGCAGATATTAAGGTAGTGATGTCTTCTTGCTTCACGGTTCCATTTGATTGGAGTAATTTTGCTCATCCGTTCACTTTAAGGTAGTGCCTAATTTTAAAACAAAAGTGTGTTTCTTATAGACAGTA